TCTTTAACGTGCCACCAAACGATAATACCTTTTTTTTCCCAACAAAAAAACAGGGTAAAATCAAAAGCATTGCGACTAGAAGTTTCCTGCCACTAATTTGGTAAAAAAATTTCGAAATATTATACATGCATTTATAGTCTTACCTATGGTAGGTAGAGTTTCAAATTGATGGACGGCTAGATTGCAATAATCTAGCTTGTGGACCCTCTTGTGATTTTGTTTGATATGTATGTTTTACTTACAACAATGTGATACGCTCTTCTACTTCAGGTGTGTTATCCTCAGTTATTGTGAGAGCATTATTGTCTTTTTACAAGCTTTCATATTTCTAAAAGAGTAAAACTGCTACATTGGGTAAACTTGTGTTTTAGAAGTCATGTATACCTTATCTTATGTTTCGTCAAGTAGTTCATTCTTTCCTTAATGTAGTATTTGATCACAGTGGCGGAATTTGCTGTCGAGGCACTTTTGACTTATGAAATTTAACTTTTCCATAACTAGTTTTGTTGCTCATTATGCCATTGTAACTTTAATAGCTGTGGCTGATCTGAATTTAAGAGGGATGGTTAAATGTGATGGTTCTCCCTGAGTTTCTGGGTAATTAACCTATTAAAGCTTGATTTTACTCCGTTGGAGATGTATGTTTCATGAATAAGTAGTTCAGTTGTGTAAAAGTATATATGTGGTCTGGTAGACTCCATCTCTAACTTCATAATTGAATTGATGTATATGATGGAAAGTTAGCTGACTGGGGTCTCATATGTTTTATGAAGAAAAACCAGTTTTGGGAATTTTCCATGTAGACAATGAATACTCAAGAATGTTCATATTGCAAAAGATGTTTGAAACAAGTTCCCTGAAGTATCGTAATTATTCTCACTGGCACAATGTCAGTCAGTTTGTAGAATGCAACACTAGTTGATGTTCCTCCAAAGTCGTGGGTTTCTGTGGGACAAGAAAAGCAATCACTTTTACCTATCATTACAAATGTAACTCACATCTTTTAGTTGCACAAATGAGAACTTCTCACGTGTTCTCTTGTTAGTGTGTGTGGGCTTGTTTAAATTTTATCAGCAGTTTAATTGGGATAATATGTCTTGTCATATTGTGGCAGGTTTTTGCCGAGGAAGTACGGTTGGAGTTTGCTATGGAAGAAATGCTGATGACCTCCCAACACCTGATAAAGTAGCACAGCTGGTTCAACAACATAACATCAAATATCTAAGGATCTATGATTCTAATATCCAGGTCCTCAAAGCTTTTGCAAATACTGGAGTTGAACTCATGATTGGGGTCCCAAATTCAGATTTATTGCCATTTTCACAGTTCCAATCCAATGCAGAAACCTGGCTGAAGAACAGCATCCTTCCATACTATCCAGCCACTAAGATCACATACATAACTGTTGGTGCTGAAGTCACAGAAATCCCCGGTAATACCTCTAAACTAGTTGTGCCTGCAATGCAAAATGTCCTCGCGGCATTAAAAAAAGCTGGTCTGCAGAAAAGGATTAAAGTTTCAACTACCCATTCCCTTGGGGTTTTGTCCCGATCATTCCCACCTTCTGCAGGGGCCTTTAATAGCAGCTTTGCATTTTTCCTGAAACCCATGCTGGAATTCCTTGCCGAGAACCAGTCACCTTTTATGATAGATATATATCCATACTATGCATATAGAGATTCTTCCACCAATGTGTCTCTAGATTATGCTCTATTTCAGTCATCCTCAGAAGTCATAGATCCGAACACTGGCTTGCTTTACACAAACATGTTTGATGCACAGATTGATGCTCTTTACTTTGCACTTATGGCTCTGAATTTCCGAACAATCAAGGTTATGGTAACTGAAACTGGCTGGCCCTCCAAAGGTTCACCAAAAGAGACGGCTGCAACTCCTGATAATGCACAGACTTATAACACCAATCTGATCCGACATGTCATAAATGACACAGGCACTCCTGCAAAGGCTGGACAGGAGCTAGATGTGTATATTTTCTCATTGTTCAATGAGAACAGGAAACCTGGGTTGGAATCTGAGAGAAATTGGGGTTTGTTTTATCCAGACCAGACAAGCGTCTATAACCTGGATTTAACTGGGAAAGGAGCAGTTGATATGACACCAGATTCAAATGTTACTAGTCTGAATGGAACTACATGGTGCATAGCCTCCACCAAGGCTTCTGAAAAGGATTTGCAGAGTGCATTAGATTGGGCATGCGGCCCTGGGAATGTGGACTGCTCTGCTATTCAGCCTAGCCAGCCTTGTTTTGAACCAGATACTCTACTCTCTCATGCATCTTTCGCATTCAACAGTTACTACCAGCAGAATGGGGCTTCCGATATTGCTTGTAGTTTTGGAGGGAAAGGGGTCAAAGTTGACAAAAATCCAAGTATGTAATTCCACATCCAACTTATTCATTGCTTCAATTGTGTTTGGAGCCTCTTCGTGGATCAATTAACGTGCATTTTCTTTTTTGTGCAGGCTATGACAATTGCTTGTATATGACCGCGGGGTAAGTTCAATACCTCAGAGCAGCCTGTTTAAAAATTTTGTGTAGTCATACTCCATAGACTAAAACTTGTTTTGCAATAAACTTACAGGGCAAACAAAACTGCAGCCAGCAGCAATACAACAGCGATATCTTCTACTTCTTCCTCTGCACGTAATGTGGCCTTTACATGGACTACAAGTTTTTTACTTGTGACTTTTCTGTCAATCCTCTTGAATATTGAAGGATCTGTGAAGAGTTCGATACTAATATGAGAGTGGTGCCTCTCTGAGTTGGAGGAGAAATACTGATCTGGACAATTTTCCGTAGAAGTTTTGATGGGAGAAAATGTAACTACAGTGGAGGAATTCGCCCTCTGGTTTTGTATGATATTTGATAGCTATCACCGCTTCATTCCAGTAGTTAAGATTAATTATATGTTTTTGCACATATCTTGCAGCTTTTGATTGTTGCATATTGCTTGTATTAAAGGGACTGCAATTTCGAGTATGCTGTTTCAGATTTAACAATATTTAATGCCTTGGCTGCTTCTCCCCACTAAAACGGCTTTAAGGGATTCTTCAAAACCAAATCGTTGAAAATGAAATTCTTCTTTCTTCAAAATCAAATCACAAAAAAGTGAAATCGTTCTTATCTTAAACAGTGTAGGGATTAATTCGTAATTCTGCTAGAAAGGACTATTTTGTCGTTGAGAGGTTATTTTGACCGAATAAAAAATTAAATCATTGGCTGTTAAAGCAGTCAGCCATGTAGCTCTCTGGCGCACCTATATCGAGTATACGTCATGGGCATTTCTTAGTTTCGACTTTTCAGTTAGGGAGAGCTCTTAGTTTCGACTTTTCAGTTAGGAAGAGCGACTTGTGCATACACAAGGTTTGTCATAACGATAAGTTTGTATCCAAAAGGTTTTGAAACAATAAATAGGTATCTTTCGTCATGTTCTGATTTCTGTTTATTAATAGTAAAAAGATTAAAATACCCTTGAAAGTTTGAATTTTAGTTTTTTATAAATTTAAAAATTTCTAAAAACCTCTTAGGTTTACAAATTTAACTAAATACCTCAATATATAAAATTTTTGTAAAATAATAAAAATACCCCCGTCACCTGCAGTGTCAAATTCCGGCCACCACCGCCGGAATCTGGTCTGGAAGTTGCGTTACGACACAGACCCGTCGGATCTGTGTCGTAACGTGCCGATCTTGCCTTTTCCGGTCAGATCTGCCACAGATCTAGCCGGAAAAAGCCAGATCTAGTCGTCGAAACAGCAGTCAGATCTGGCCTTTTCCGGCCAGATCTAGCCGTCGACGCCGCAGATGGAGTTTTGTGACGTCGACGGCCAGATCTAGCCGTAGATTTGGCCTTTTTCGGCCAGATCAGCCACGGATCTGGCCAGAAAAAGCCAGATCGACGCGTTACGACACAGATCCGACTGGTCTGTGTCGTAACACAACTTTCCGGCCAGATTTCGATGGTGGTGGCCGAAATCTGGCATTGCGACTGGCGAGGGTGTTTTTGTTATTTTACAAAAATTTTATATATTGGGGTATTTAGTTAAATTTGTAAACCTAGGAAGTTTTTTAGAAATTTTTAAATTTATAAATAACTAAAATTCAAACTTTCAAGGGTATTTTAGTCTTTTCACTATTAATAAACAGAAATCACTAACAGAACATGACGAAAGATACCTATTTGTCGTTTCAAAACATTTTGGATACTAACTTATTATTATGACAAACCTTGGGTCTGCACAAGTGGTTCGCCCTTTCAGTTACCCTGAAAGAACTTGCAATGGTGCCACTGATGTCATGAGCCTCTGATATTGTCACCCATTTCGAAATTTAAATATTGCTCTAATTGACAAAGCAAAGGGATTACTTTATGTCACCAAAGCCAGCTGGTTGTTGCAACTTTCACTTTCTACTTTCATCTTCTCCTTTAGCTTCACAAACACAACTCGATAATTCCTCAAACTTTGTCCTAACTCCGACTCGAAATTTCCTCAATTTTTCAGTATTCTAAGAATACTGAGGATCTGGATCCCTTGAAAGGGGCTTTGCTTTCAACCGAAGAAGAACAGATAGAATCCATTGTTCATAGCCCAAAACACAAGGGTCAGAGATAGATTGTTAACAAATATAATATAAATATATCTTAACCATCCATCATGATAGTGGGTTACATGTATTCCAATGACCAAGATAAACGCATATAGAAAACGAAGAATACTTTAAAATTTAATGACAATCAAATAAACACATCCATTAGATATGTTCCACTATAATGTTCATAAGATAACTCACTTGACAACCACAATCATACATCAAAGTAAGCCATCATATCCATCAATTTCACAGGCACCAAACTATTTCTTTCCACACAGAGTTCCCATGACTTTGAATACTTCCAAATATTATTACATTGCAGCTCAGAAGATGCAAGTTTGTAGAGAAGCCAAGAAGAACTGAAACAAATAACAGACATACAAACCAACTAAAGACCTTGTTCCACAAGATAATCACCAAGCCTTTCCACAATCATGTTGCACTGTCCAGGAGTCATTGGCTCATCATAGATGCCAATAACGAAGGCCATATTGGTCTTCTTGACAGTAACACCACCAGGTCCCTGAAATTAAAATGAAACTAGTCAACAATCAGCTATGAAACAAAACCAAATGTAAGAGGCAGCTTAACGNACCAAGCAAAGTAAGGATACACCCATTTCGGAGTCTTCAATAAGTTCTTTCCAGTTGAAAGTGGATGCAACACTGTCAAAAAGTAATATAGATGTCCTGCGATGATTCCCAGAAGGTCTGACATCAGAGGTGAACCAAAAACAACATCCAAAGCCAGCATTGCCCATGGTAGATAAAATGCCTACAAATTAAAAAGAAAAATGAATACGACATGCTTCGGATAAGTAAGGAGCAGCCCAAGCTAGCTCATAAAACAAATCCAAGAAACCACCCCATTGCATTCATCCTCAAAACTATAGCTCACATACCTTAAGCGTCACGAGGCCATATATATTAATTTGGGCATTCGGAAATTCTCTACTCCAGACATAGATAAGCATAAAAACAAGGGATATCCCCAAATAGCCTGTCTGAAATATGGGGATGGCTGACAACACCTTGAATCCAGAAGACAAGTACCACCAAACAATGACGTTAGCAAGGCAAAATGGTCAAAGATGCTCAGAATTCATAAAGTACAAAGTCACACAGAGCTGATCATTACAACTACAGTCACTATATGTTCAAATTATTCACACCAAACACAAAAGATCAAAAAAGGCAATAGAATTGTTCCTTTTTTTTTTTTTTTTTTTCTTGAAAAAGGGTATTTGCATTTTTTGCTTTAGAACCAAAATTTCAAGACTCCAGCTCATATGAGCTTGTGCCACTTAACTAATTAGTCATCTGCATAGTGAATCATCTTTAAGGAAAAAGATCAGTAAAACATTAAATCAGAAAGCTGAACAAGATGAAGGCACACACCAGCAATGACAAGGCTCCAAATATCATCATCCACAAAAAGTCTGCTGTACGTCTGTCAAACGGTCCCTTCTCTAGGTTAACTCCATATCTCACTCTGTAAAGTTAATAAGAATTACCACACAAGTTAATGCCAAGGAGAAAAAACAAAAGAAAAATGAAAAATCCACACACATGTTATCAAATTACCACGTGGTTGTCATAGCAGAAAACCACTGGAGTTGCACAATAAAATCAAACTATTTTGATGCTCCGAATTTTAAGTTTTCAAGATATAATACTTACATCATCAAAAGGCGGATCCCAAAATTGATTGAGAAAAAACCAATGAAAAAGAAATTTGTAAACAGCCTCCACACCTATGATTGCAAGTCAAATATAATAAGCAAGTCTACAGGATAATTGAGAAAGAAATTGAAATGTTTTTGTTAACTGAGATCTCATATCAAACTCCAAAAGAAGATACCAACAAAGCCAATCCATAACAGTGCAAATTTGCTGGTATGTTAAGAGCATATGGGTCTATAATTGAGTGTGTGTGCGTGTGTGTGTGTGTGTGTGTGTGTGAGTGTGTGTGTGTGTGTGTGTGCGCGCATGCGCTAGAAAGAGAGAGAGGGAGATTGAATGGAATATGTTCAGGGTCATTTGACAAATCTCAAAAAGGGACTGGCTTGGTTTGCAGATTGTTTCTGGCACATATTTAACCAACAACATGGGAAACACAAATTTCTAGCATTCTGCCATATAGATGCTATGGGAAACACATATATAGTACCCAGTTATACACTTAGGAGCCAAATATCAGTTTAAAATATAAAAATAAAAAGTTGTTTTAAAGTTCGAATTCTCACTAGAGAACTTTGTGGAAATTTGAAAACATCCTTCCCCAGGAAAACAAAGAGTTTTACACCTCAAGGAAATGAGATAAGCACAGCCTTAATATTCAAACACTGTCGAATTGTAAGAGTTTAAATATTTGATATCCTTATGCCAGTTAGAACTATCAGATTGGTACAAGCTATTTTCCAATCCATATACCCTGAACATAATGCAAACGTATTTCAAACACAATCTGGCTATTTGTTCTTTTAAGAACTAGCTCAGCACACAAGAGACGTGATACTCAGAAATTCATGCAAGCTAAACCATCTTCACAGAAAATATATTTATAACAACAAAGCATTGAATCATAATAAAAGATAAAATTATCCATCAACATCTGTACAAGCCTACTTAGTTAAAATTGTCGGAACATAAACTTTAGAACAATTGGGATATTTTTTTCTTCCAACATCAATAGAATAATCTAGCTAATTGTTTGTAATCCAAAAAAATAGAACCCAAACCTGAAGACGTAAAAAGACTAGCTCATAGTCTAATCCAAGATAATTAGGATTCAATAATCTGAGCTGACAAGCTGTAGTGACTGCAAGGCACAATGTCCCATAAGCCTTGCATATTGGTGGAAGAGAGTTATAAAATCTGAAAAAGGAAGAACAACAAGGATTAGACAAATAAAAAATTGTCACTGAAACTATTTCAATTCTTAAAACAAAAATAACATTGAAAAAACCCAGAGTAGAGACTCAAATAGCATGGAAAGCAAAGCTCTGCTATTTCACATACTGTCAGGGAAGTAAAGCATTGAACTAATGGTTAAAATCAAAGCACGCACTATAATTGAGATTCTACACCACAACAGGATATCTTGTTTGATAAGCATGTTCTTTTTGCTTAGTTTTCGTCATTTCTTATTTTTGTACCCTTAGTTTTGCAATAACATAGAAGCAAGCAAACAGAAATCCATCTTGGTCAGCTAGCTGCCACTCGGCAAACTAAAATCTAACAACTGCAACGCTTTACTTTGACTTGCATATGTAAAGACGAAAAACAAACAAAGTTGCAGCGTGAAGATAACAAACCCTTAACTAAGTCTTAAAATTAACTACATAATAAAATAATAACGCTTGAATTTGAATCAGCGAACCCACAATTACAAACCTATAAAGTCCAATACCATAAACCATGTTTGAATTTGAGTATTACATTAAGTAATGAATTAGTAACATAAAAACACGAATAGAAGTGAATTTTCAAGAAAATAAAGACCCAAGTTAATAGTATGAATATGAAGAGAAAGAGAAAAGGGTAATACTCAGCAGGTGTAGACATTGGCGACCCAAGAAGCTAATTCAGCTGAAAACCCAGTTTTAGATCTTCTCTTTAAGTGGTGTTAATGAATTGTTTACCCAAGAGTTGAAAACCGGTTGTCAAAAGTTAATAGCATAGGATGTACCAACCAGAAGGTTCTGTAGTAGTCCATCAATCCATCGTATGTGTATTTTATTGAGTAAACGACACGTTCCCACCCAAAGATTAGCGAAACCTAAGTGTCCACCCCTAGTTTCATTTATTTCAATACCCACCCTTAAATTAACACTGTTGATGATTTTTGGGTTCTGACTAATATGTAGAATATTATTACCAAGCTATCTTTACCAATAAATTACTTTTTAACCCAAATACATTTGGATTTTTTTGACAATCGCAAGGGAGGGAAAAATCAAGAGAAAATGCTCAGATTTGACCAAAATAAAGGTGAACGAGACTGAGGGATTGATGGGTTTTATTAGAGATAAGTGGGGGGAGTTAGTGGTGGTAGCAGTGATGTCAAACGACGTCAGAATCTGGCTAGATCTGGATTTTTTCTGTAGCAGTGAGAGAGAAAAATATTGAGGATAAAAGGCTCAGATTCAACCAAAATGCAGGTGGACGAGGCTGAGGAATGGATAGGCTTTGTTGGGGATGAGTGGAGGAAGCTAGTGGTGATGGCAATGATGTTAAACGATGCCAGAATTAAGTTAGATCTGGATTTTTCTAACAGCCGTGAGAGAGAGGAAAATCGCAAAGAAAATGCTCATATCCGATCAAAATAGAGGCGGACGAGGCTGAGGGATGGATGAGTTTTGCCAGGGATGAGTGGAGGAAGTTCGTGGTGGGGGCGATGATGTCAAACAATGCTGGAATTCGGTCAAATATATATTTTTCCAACAGCTGCGAGGGAGGGGAGTGATGAGGGGTGCTTGTGAGAGAAATTTGAGATGTAAAGGTTTATTTTGAAATTTTTATTTTTATTTAAGATTTAATGCAATTCAAATGACCATTTTACCCATTGACCATTAGATTAAATGATTTTCTGTTAGTTTAAGGGTGGGAATGTAGAATAAATGAAATCAGGGGTCGGAAATGTCATTTGTTTTATTTGTTGTGTTATCCCACGTGTAAACCAGTGGGATTGAACTTTGGGCCTTGGTATTGAAAGGTTATGGTCATTCACTAATTGGGCCATTTGGTTACAATTATGAGCATATGTCTTTCTGATATTGAGGGAACTTATTGAATCAAACCTGAAGTCCAAAACATCCGAATAACGTAGAGCATAGGCCTTCTTGATAATGAGGGAACTTACTGAATCAACCCTAAAGTATCCATAGCAAGTGTCACCGATTACGATTTCCTTTTTCATTTAAGATATTGAAACTCCTTTCCTCTCTCATTTGTATCCCTTCATTCACTTCTTGTGAAAAACTCTCTATTATTTATAAATCCTAAATAAAGAACAAGTAAAGATGGAGCACGATGAGGTTATATGGCAAGTTATCAGGCACAAAACAATCACTGCAATTTCTTGGCCAAGTGAGTCTTCTGCTTGACCAGGTATACACTGCTTCTTATGTCTCAAGATATATCTTCCACTTGATTGGGAATTACAAACAGCTACTGTCAAAGAGTGCTGAATAGCTCCATAGACTCCTAATTTGATTAAAAGTAAATGGTTCCTGGTGAAATTGTTGACTTATATATCATGATAGCATATGTTCATGGTTCCAGTAAATTATGGCTTAATTGTGGTAACACTTAAGACTTGATAGTTGATAGTACAAGTTTGCTGACAGTTGTTTGTGTCAAAAATGATTCAAACAATCTTATATGCAAATGTCTCATAATTGTTATTTTTTGAACTGAAACAAAATTTTGGAAGCGATTGTCATTGGCCATGGCACATTCTGTTTCTGCATGGTTAAGTTGACATCAATACAATTCGAGTGAATCTTGATATCTCAAATTATATTTTCTCAAGTTGAGCAAGAAGATGCAGATGAGAGACCAAAGACAGTCCACTGAGAGTGTCAAGTCTATTGCTTAAATTTAATTTCTTACCGAGTAACAGTGTCAATTTTACATACATAAGATATAACTGCACAAATTGGTAGTGAGAGGAAGCGCAATTGTTGTATTGTTGAGTTGCACTAGTATGCAAAATTTTGACCCAATATTTGAGAGATACTTTCTTACTCATCATTCACTTCTATTTCGTTTTTCCAATATTTGTATTGGATCTGAGTTGAGGAGCTGAATTCTTTATTGCTCATAGCTAGTTCTTGCTGCACTTTTTCAATTATCTTGTTGGTAGTAGAAACGAAAGATGAATTGGAATTTCTTATGTGAATGTATTCTAATTATTGATACTTATGTTGTGTGAGAGGAAACTATCATGGACATATTTCTTTCTTGGAAGTTGATTTTACATTTACCTTACCCGCTTTGAGTTGAAAAAACAAAAAAACATACTCAAGACCCCAAATAATACTTCCCTTGTATTGTACAATAGAAGAAAAGTATTATGTGAATTTTTTCTTCAAAAAAACAAAAGGCAATCATGTTTGTTTGTATCAGGCAAGTAAAGCATTGAACTAAAGCAAAAAAACAGGAGCTCTGCTATTTCACAGATAGCATAGAAAGCAAAAGCAAGAGCTTTGCTATTTCACACTGATAGGAACTCCTGCCAAAATGAATCAAACCCAAGCAAACAACACCCAAAATAACAGATTACAATTGAACAACAAACTTATATTAATCAATAGAGGAGTAAAACAAGTATTGAAGAGCAAAATAGACCAAATCATAAAGTAAACACAAAACAAGGATAATTTCCTAGCAATTCGAGGAGCTGGGACCTCTATGATAAACCTTCAATGAAAATACTTAACCCTTCCCCAAGACTCTTCCTAACTATATATACTAGTTATTTTACTGATTTATCCCCACTCTATTATTCTTTATAACCTGCCACGTGGAGATTCCCATAACAAACTCCCATTACCACCCATCTGCCTTTATGTCTTTTATGCCCCCTCAACTTGTAGACCTTATAATAGGTGGTCTATAAATCCCAAAACACCAAACACCCCCCCCACCCCCCCCCCCCCCCCCCCCCCCCCCCCCTCTCTTTGAAGAGCCGCCTTGTCTCAAGGTGAAATTAAGGAAACCATGTTTTGATTACATCAAATGGCTCCCATGTAGCTTCAAATACAGTCCTGCGATCTGTTTGGGTTTTGACATTTCCGGCCAAATTCCAGTTGATTTTGATGGCCAAAATTCAATCCAACACCACCACCTGAACCATCGTCCTCCACTCTACGAAATCCCTCTAACCCCGGAACTTGGTAGCCCTCCTTTTGTCGGCTGTGACTTGCAAACATTGTCACAATTGGTTTGATTTTTCCAACCAAATTCTGGCCTCCAAAATTCAATCAAACACCACCAACTAAACCACTAGCCTCCATTCTACAAAACCGCTCTAACCTCGGAACTTGGTAGGCCCCCGTTTGCTGGTCGTGACTCCCATATTGGGTTGAATTTTTTGGCCAAATTTTGGCTTATTTCAACCTCTAAAATTCAATCAAACACCACCAACTAAACCATCGACCTCCACTCTATAAAACCCTTCTAACCTCGGCACTTGGTAGCGCCTCGTTCGCTGGACGTGACTCCCATATTGGATTGAATTTTCTAGCCAAATTCTAGCTTATTCCGACATCAAAAATTCAATCCAACACTACCCCTTAAACCACCGACCTTTACTCTACAAAAGCCCTCTAACTCCAACACTTGGTAGCCCCTCGTTTGCCGGCGATCAAACTAGGGATTGAATGAACAATGAAATTGAAATCTTAGACCGGAAAAGAGGCTGGTCAACTGTTGGACTGGTTCGATCGGTCGGTCCGATCCAGTTTTCATAACATTGCTTTGACTTGCATATGTAAAGACGAAGACAAACAAAGCTACAATGTGAAGATAACAAACCCTTAACCAAGTTTATGTTGCCAAGTTGGGTTTTAGTCTTAAAATTAACTACATAATTATTAAAAAAATAACGCTTGAATTTTGTTTTTCTATTTTATTTTATAGCAATATTTAAGTAATTTTATTTGAACTGATCATTAGCAATCTAATCATTTTTAATATGAGATAATGCCACCACAGTATTAGTTGTGAAATTTATTGTCAAAGGTTGGCATGAAAAGTTAGTCCTTGAGAATTCAACATTGTGTTTTTATATAGCTGTAATTGGATAATAAAAAGGATTTAATGAGCAATTTCTTATTCTTTATTTGCCCTTTTTTCTCTTGAGCATACATGGAAGTATTATTGGAGGTAGGTAGCCATGACGAGCTGAAATATATTATCTCAAAATTAGAGTAAATAAAAATTAGGTTTGTAATACTGATTGGTGAGAAGATGGCGTGGTTTAGGCGGTCCTAAACCATTATTATGATGACAAAGAAGCACAATAATATTAGTTTGTTTGGGTTGCAATGAAATCCGTGACAGTTAATTATGATTATTATAATTAACCGTATCATTGGAAATGGGCGGGTGGGTCTGAGTCTCACACACATACAACAAACTACCTTGCCTGTCTGCCAACTTCATCTTGATGTCACCTTGGCGTTTATCGTTTCCTTGCCTGGATTCCTCTTATGTTTTATTTGTTTATTATTCTCAATACATCGTTAAATAAAGAGCAATCGCCCAAGTTTATACATTTGTTATCTTTATTTTGGATTCTCACAGTTAAACTAACGACGTTTTTTTTAATATAACATATTTTTAATTTTTTACTGTAAAATGCACATTAATAAGCTAAAATAAACTAACACTTTTTCTGGTAGAAGATGAGTTTATGTTAACAAAGAAAAAAGCTTACGTTGATAGCATCTAAACCTATGGTTTTTGATTTTTTTTGACCAATTTTAAAGTCTAAAATCACTTCTAAGGTTATCATTAGATTTTTTATAGTTTTTTTTAGAAAATTTATACCTTCACTTGTCGACTTTGTCTACTATTTTTTACTATTTTTAATAATTATTAATAATAATAATAATTTAAGATTGAGAATCTAAAATAACTGAGACTAATAATAGAAATATATCGTTTACTCTTAAATAAATAAATATTTTGTATCTTGAGAAAATGTGATACTGTCACCAAAGATTCGTTGAGATTGGAGGGAGGGAGCACGTGAGGAACACGCAGCCAAGTGGGGTGGAAGCGAAAGAGAAGTGGAACAGATTGTATATTGTCGTGACTTGGGTTGTGTCAACGGACATTGATGTAACATGTCTGATTTGGAATGCTGAGGCTCCAACATTACACAATAATAGGAAAACCCCCTCTTCTGGATTTTCACAACCCACCCACTACCTTTTAATTACTTGTAAAAAAAAAAAAAAAAGAGGAAAACCTTGTCAATAATAGGAGGCTATGATTTAACATTATGAAACTTTAATTACTTGACCACGGCATCAAGTGTTTAAAGAGTAAAAACTAAAATTTGGGCAGTTGACCAAACTAAAATAAAATGTAGTAATCTTCTTTGTGCCAGCAGCGACCAACCCCACCCATAGTGAATCACCAATCATATCACTCCACCTCACGTACGTACCATGCATCCATATATCGATCCCATCTAATTGCCTCGCTTACATGGCAAACAGATTAACCAACCCCTGTCCCACTCTAACTAATTAAAATTGCTTTCCACTTTTCTTTTTTCTGTTTATTTATTTTATAATTCATCAACACCGCAACATAAACATGAAGATATTATCTGTGACTGTGACGGTATCAAAAAGAAAATAAAATAAAATGTTAAAACGGGGCCATGGAATGGAATATGCAAAAGTGGTAGATAAGATTAATGATTTGGTGTTGTTAAGGTGGTAATTGAGGGCGTAAAGTGACCCTTAATCTAAGAAAGCTGGCGTCCATGGGTTGAGTTGACCTCCTTTTGAACTGGAAATACTCAATGAATTTGGTAAGTGTTTGTGTTACTGGGCAAAAAGTGTTTGGTAGCGTAGAAATGAAACAAACATCATGTTGTAAACCTGATTTTGGCAAGCAATAGGGATGGTGCGCCTACACGCTTGCTCCCCACGCTCCGGTCACTGATAAATGCATGCTAAGGGTCCCCCTTTATTCCTGTCAACATTTCCACCTTCCCCTCACTCTCAACTCTCATCATTTAATAAATCAAACCAAAAGGATAAGGTTTCAAAAACAACCAAACATTATGTAACACTCATAATTTATTTTTAATATTACAAGAAATTGAGGTGAAAAAGAAAAAGTTGTGGATTTGAAGCATGCATGTATTCTTAAATTAAATTTTAAAAATGTTTTTATTTAATTTATTTTGTCGGGAGGATATTGCATTACGTTACTTTATATGCAAGCTTCATCCAGAAATTAATTAAGCTCATTTTATTATGCCTATTTATTCAACAACCATCCTTGACCAGACGTGAACCAATTCGTAAAGAATAAAAAATGAACATAAGTGATTAACTGCAATCAGCGCCGTCAAGAAGCCGTCCAAAACGGCGAACCGATTGGGAAGGCGTCAACGAATGACACGTCAACAGATTTCTTCTTGTTCTGATATTTAGAGATGGAAATGTAGGAAAATTCTCACCCAATCCAACTCCAGCTACGCATAGTCAGTCTCCCATGACAACGTGGTGACAACCTTAACACAGCTGTACCCCTCCCCACTGCGGGACCCATTTTTATTTTCCCCGCCGATATTTTCATCTTTCTTTTCTCCTCAGTTTATCATTTCCTTTAAAATTATATTACTTTTTCTTTTAAAATTATATATAACTCTTAATTAATTTATGTATTTTAAAATAGGTATATGTACGGTGATGTTTAAAATGTTATGAAATATGCGTTTAACACTTAACCAATCAAATCAATATACAATGAATAAGTGATGAAGCATAAACGACATAATTTTCAAATCCTTAAGTAACCTAAAAAGAAGACATAATTGCTAAAATTAATTAAAAATAGTACGTGATAATGCCACACACTACAAAATGTATATAATTTTTGTTTGCAATTAACATAACAATTGACTTGTACGTATTATGAATCTATGATGTTACCTATTGTACCATATATTAACTTCAATTTATACGTCTATGCTCATCAAACAATCAATATTTGTATTAATTAATAATTATGTTACACAATTTGAGTATTCAACAAGCATATTGTACTCAAGATCAGGATTAAATTACAGTGTTATTGCCTAATTAATTAATAATATAAAGTCACCAACAAATTTTAGCAGTGATTTGGTTAACTGGGTACCCATCGACCCTACATAAGCATAATCGTAACTCTAATTTTTCTCCTACCATTTTCCCGCGAGAAGAAAAGTGGTGAAACCAAAATAATTAAAAATAATAATAAAAGAGAGAAAGTAAAACGTTAAGACAGGTGAGCCGACATTCAATTGAGTCCATGAACATAGATGTTTCCTAAGCTCTTGAGCTCCCCTATCTCATCAACTGACGTACATTTCGAGTTTCACTCATCATTCTTCAATTCCTTTTAAATCCAAACATACAGTCAACTACTACAATCACCAATGGATCCCTGCCCATTCGTACGTTTGATTGTCGAATCTTTGGCTCTCAAACTCCCACTTGCCGCCCCTAAACCAGCCGGTCCGGGAGTTCATCCATCCGCCACTCCATGTTTTTGCAAGCTCAAGATCAAGAATTTCCCTTCACAAACTGCTCTTGTACCGCTTTCCACATCACCCAACGACTCTCCACCCGAATCCTCTACCTCCGCCTTGGGTTTTCACCTCGACGCTACCGCCATCCGCCGCCTCTCAGCCAAGCCCGTCACTCTTCGCGTCTCCGTCTACACGGGTCGCATGGGTAGCTCGTGCGGCGTTAACTCCGGCAAGTTGCTGGGGCGTGTACACGTAATTATTGACCTCTCAGGAGCTGAGTCTAAGCCAATTGTGTTCCGTAATGGGTGGCTGAAGCTGGGAAGTACTGAGACTGAAAAGCCTTCGGCTCGGCTTCACTTAATGGTCCGGGCTGAACCAGACCCCCGGTTTGTTTTTCAGTTTGGCGGGGAACCGGAGTGTAGTCCTGTCGTTTTTCAGATTCAAGGGAATAATAATATCAGGCAACCTGTTTTCAGCTGCAAGTTCAGCGCTGACCGAAACTCAAGATCCAGGTAACATTTCTTTTTCAACATTTTGATTATATGGGTTTTTTGTAGGGTGATGTAGCCGTATACTGTTGGCGATGGTGGTGGTGGTGGTGGTGGTGGGGTGGTCAAGAATCATTACTTTAATAAATTTTTTTTCCTGAGAAATTATTGTTTGTCGCATTAATTCGGAGAGTGTTGAGATAATTCCGTATTTGGATATGCTTTTTTGATAAAGTAGGGATCATGTGGGTTGTCAAATTTCTTTGCTTAGCTGGTGACTCACATCACATGTCTTATTATGCTAAGTTGGCCACCACCTTATCTATTTTCCCTTATTTTGTTCCTTTCATGAAATTAACCTCCATTTTTAGTTTCCTTCATGCTAATTTACTTTGAAAATGGCTGATCAAAGTAACCAACAATTGGCCCGTAGTGGACGCTTTAACTTGGTCCCATTCAATCACAATTCCACCCAATAGTCTTTATCATTTGGCACCACTATTTCTTTTACTTTTCCTAAGTTTAGTAGGTTCAATTAACGCTCACGATTCATTCCTTGATTTCTCTGTTGTTCTTGGTTATCTTGTCTTCAAATAATTTCAGTCTATGGCCACATGAGAATGTCAACTTAACCGACCATGCACCGTGACTAATCACGAACTTCTATGGTTAAGAAAATTAAACAATAAAAAGCACTCAAATTTCTAACTAAAATCACTAATTTGATTATTAATAATGGTATCCGTTGCTAGTTTGGTCAAACGAATCAGAACTTGAAATCTATATATACTGTATCAAACTAGTTTTGATTCCCTCCATGTGCAAGAATATTTGGTCGTTACGTACATCACGTTAATTCAATTTCCTGTCAACTGTTCTGACATATCTATATTTGAAGTCGGTTGGGTTCTAAGATTTTGTTGTTTGTGATTCTTGAAACCAGATCTCTGCCATCAGATTTTACCAACAATAACGCCAACAATCGAGGATGGATGAGAACATTTTCAGGCGAAAGAGAACGACAAGGAAGGGAGCGCAAAGGATGGATGATAATGATATACGACTTATCCGGCTCTCCAGTGGCAGCCGCCTCCATGATCACTCCATTTGTTCCGTCACCAGGATCCGACCGCGTGTCCCGTTCAAACCCTGGCGCATGGCTGATCCTCCGGCCTCACGGTTTCTCCGTAAGCAGTTGGAAACCATGGGGCCGTCTCGAAGCATGGCGTGAGAGATGCCCGATTGATGGGTTAGGTTACAAGTTTGAGCTCGTTACCGATAGCGGCCCTAACAGTGGAATCTCCATTGCTGAAGCGACAATGAATGTAAAAAAGGGAGGCCAATTTTGCATTGATAGTAGGATTATGAGAGATTCTTTAGTGAGTTTAAGATGTCCAGTTAAAGGATTCGTGATGGGTTCGAGTGTAGAAGGTGAAGGAAAGGTTAGTAAACCTGTGGTACAAGTTGGGGTGCAGCACGTGACTTGCATGGCGGATGCTGCACTGTTTATAGCACTTTCAGCCGCCATTGATCTGAGCATGGACGCTTGCAGACTTTTCTCACATAAACTTAGAAAGGAGCTTTGCCACGATGAACAAGATGTCTTCTCTTAAAACGGATTCTTTCTTGTGCAGTGATAACCAATTATGAGTAAAGCACTAATGGTTGGAGCATAGAAGATATATATTTTGCGACTTCCTTTGATCTTTTTCCCCAGGTTTAGAAGTGTGGATGCCGATCGCTTTCCGGATTTTGGGAGGCTCTTTTTCCGGTTGATTAATTCCCCGTGATTTTGGTCCTTTGAGTTGATATATAAATCGATGATTTCTTGCTGGTTTTGATTCTGAAATTAGTTTTGGGTTTTGTCGACATTTAATTTATTTATGCGTAGAGGTTTTGATCCTCTGGCTCTGAGTTTATACCTTACAGATTGGAAGTTCAAAGTGTACAGAAAAACAAATTAAGGAAAAATGTTTGTTGATATTTTATTTATTCTTTTTTATTAATCTTTTTGTTATTACACTTTAGCAATTGGTTTTTACAAAAAATTGATTGGTTTATCATGTATATATTTCATGAATTAACATGGACTTGAATACTTACCTACTGTACTACTACTTAAAAATAAAAATAAACAAGAGGAAAATAATAAATTTGTCCTAGCATTATGATATTAAAATAGTAAACTTTAATTAATTAGTATATTACATATTTATGAGGCCTTGATCGGCTTTATGTTTGAAAGTATTTAAGAAATTGGGAATTCCAGTTCATTCTGCAAACCTGACTTTTACGTCGTTTAATTCCTGATTTTGATGGTTCTTTATAAAATTTTAAATTGGTAAATTATTATTTTTTTCTCAATCAAAAGATAGCACCGTATATGAATTTAATTAATTAGATAAAGTAATAAACAGAAAAGTTATAACATGATGCTTACGTTTGAAAAAACTTTCCCAACTAGAAATGGTCTCTTGTTAGACCTAACTGATTTTCCTTTGCATGTACAATGGGACAATAATACTAGGTGTACAAAAAAGTTTTATACGATGTAACAGAAAATAAATTAAAAAATAAATACAAAAAGTCAGACATATTATAATTACCCTTCATTTTACTTCTTATACTGTTCACTTTGGATAAAAACTTTTGTAATAAGTGCAGTTTTACTTTAATGGAAATCATTACCATAGCCTTCCCTTCTAAATTTGAAAAATACATGTGCCAGTTTGATTATGGGCCGAAACAAAAACGACAAAAACGAAGGTCCTTCAAAAACACAATATTCTGATTTTGTAATTTATTAAAGAGTTAACTACTTTTTCCCACCCAAGGTTTGCCTTAATGCTTTAAAATATCACTTTCTCACCTAAAATTTATATTCTATTAATATCTAAAGTACACTTCACTTTCTCAGTCGATATTCAGCAAGTTATCAGGAGCCAAAATAAGAGAAGTTTTGTAGAGGAGAGACTGGTAGATCGAATTATGGTGACCGATTGAATATTCGTTAATGGAATCAACTGAAAATAAGCTAAGAATAGAAAATCTTAGCTTTGTGATGGTCAACAATCAGTGAGAAATAAGATGTCGGAGAGAATTTTCACCCTAGAAATTGATTGGAATCGACTTTAGATAGTAACGGAATATTAACTTTGGGTGAGAAAGTGGTATTTTAAAACTTTTGGGTGGGAAAGTCATTAAGGCAAACCTTGGGTTGGGAAAAAGTGTTTACTCTTTATTAAAATGATTTTAAACTATATTTAATTAAATAAAACCCCATCTTCTTAAGGACATTGTCTGCCAATAATTAATCCTTTTTTAGTTCATTATAATTAAACAAAACTCCATTACCTTTTTTTTTTTTCAAAGGAGATTATCATAATTTTTAGGGGAAGTTATTGGACCTCCACAAATTTTGGAACATGACAAAAATACCCACAGTTGTTTATTTAAATCATGTAATAACAATAACACACATACATAAAAGAAAGAATGCACCTCATCCTTAAACTATCACCACCGCCATCAAACTAAACTCAGCTAAAACATTAAGAATAATGCTAGCCTTACTCACTTCTCTTACTCACATTTATTAAAAAAGTGAAAAACTGGATAGGGTTAACATTTTAACAAAGTTGAGTAAGAAAAGTGAGTAGCGGTAGTGAGTAAGACTAGCATTACTCAAACATCAACTCTTCGCTTATTGATGCACAAATCCCCAATCACTATTTCTTCATTTCAAAACCACAAAAACTGATTCAACCGCAAACCATAGTGTTTATTTATGTTGTCAAATCTATAATACCTTATTTCAGGATGTAATTGATTCATTTAAGAATGTTTAAATTTGAGAGTGTCACAGCCGGTTTAAGGTTAAATTGATTGTTATGCTACATAATTTTTGGACTTGATTTTAGAAGTTAATAAATAAAATAATATTATTATTTCACATATAAAATTATCAACATAATAAGGGTAAAATAGGTATTTAAATGGTGAAAGATCAATTAATAGTTTGCATTAATGAATACTATTTGAGTGTTGTTAATTTCCAAAATTTGTGGGTGTTCATTGTCTTCACCCAAATCTAGGGTGACCAAATGAAGTTTTATCTAATTTTCTTAATCCTTTGAGGGGGTCGTATATGGGGACAGATTGGGTAAAAGAAAGAAACAAAAAAGAAAAATATTTTCAACGTGCTTTAAATAAAAAACAGTCTGGGTAATTATAAGCCACTCAAAAAACAGAAAGGGGAAAAGCCAGAAGGCTTCCCCAGATGGATTCCCGCAGCTTCCTCCTTTCAATCTCCCTCATTCTCTTCATAATAACATTAACCTCTCACGCTTCAGCCCAGTCAATCATACAAATCCCATCTCACAAAACCCAAATCACCGGCGACCGCAAAATCCGGGTGGACGATGGAATGTATTGTGACAGCTGGAGATTCTCTGTGGAGACGAACGATGCAGGAATTTGGGAGTATGTTCCCTCCAGATGCGCAAAATATGTCCAAGACTACATGACCGGCGACCGTTACTTGTCTGACTCTGAGGTGGTCTCTTCTTACGCCCTCAACTTCGCCAAGAACGTGAACGTGTCAGATGATGGAAAGGACGCTTGGGTTTTCGATATCGACGAGACCTTGCTCTCCAACTTGCCTTACTACGAGAAAAATGGATTCGGGTGCGTTTGATTGGTTTGGTTTTTGATACTGTTAATGTTATTGAATCATGTGTCGTGACATGTTTCTGCGTGTCGTTTTATATGTTAGGTGTGCATGTGATTAGATGTACAGTTAATGATGGAGGAATTATCAAATGGGTGCTACCTCATTATAACATTTTGTTGGTGATTGTAGAATTTGTTGCGTAAAAGTTTTAGCTTGCACCTATCTTTAGTGTCTAGAGGACAATCTTGAATGTAAGTAGATGGCAAAACAGTGTATGTGAACCACCACTGCAGTGGATAGGTCAACTAGTACTCTAGGTGTATTACATTACTCAAGAGCTCTTAAATTCGATCTACCTCGGCTGGTAATAGGGGTGACCACTGAACACTTATCCGATCGTTAGCTTTAGGACATCAGAGGATTAGTTAAGCTACACGTAAGCTACTTTAGACATCCCGGTAAAAAAAAAAAAAGTGCATGTGCATTTAGATTGAAATCATTGAATGAATCCACCTAAGAGTTGTCCTTGGAGGCTCAGTTTAAATGGAGGATTCTTTTCAAGACTTGTTTCTATATATGACCATGTATATGATAAGCTAGTAGGATATTTATTGATCTCTTATCAGTTTTTTTTTTTTTTTTCCATTTAATATTGATTTGTTCGCTTAGTTATACAAATCTTAACAACAGGAAGCATTTTACCTAGTTTCTATGAGATTATACAACTAATTCAATTTTGTTTTTTTTTTTTAAACCTTCATTAAGGCAAATGTTACATTATATTTTCTCACAGACGCTATGATAGCGAGCTATTTGTTTTGTTAACTGATGTAATCTCCATAACTAAGAGGGCTATGCTTGTGCTCCTTTTATTATAGATTCAACCAAACACACTCTAAAAAAGTTGAAATTCAACTTCATATAGAAACTGATGCATATGGGGGAATGTTAAGGACAGAACAGAAGGAATATATGTATAAATCTCAGCAGACAGCAGACCTGAAGTGGAATAAACTTAGAAATTATTCAAAACCCTGGTTATGAAGCGCCAATACATTCAGTTTTACATCAGAGGATAAAGAGTTACAATATAGAAACAGTTTGATATTAATTTATTTATAAGTGTGAAAGTATTGTGACAACTCCTGACATGAAATAATCTATCTTATTATAAGTTCATGTTTGCTTATAAAATCATTTTTGTTTTGGGGAGCTCTCTTGTGATCACCCTTTCTGAAATTGAAATTGTTTTTGTGCCTATCATTGATATTGTTATTTTACATATTTTCTTAATTAAGATAAAGATTGTTGCCTTAAGTCACTAAAGCCTTCTTGTTCTGTTCATAGATCAGAATCTTTCAATGAAGAATCTTTTGATATGTGGGTGGATCTGGCTGAGGCTCCTGCCTTACCAGCAAGTTTGAATTTTTACAAGGAGCTCAAACAGCTAGGATTTACAATATTTCTGTTAACTGGGCGGAGTGAAGATCAAAGAAATGTGACGGATAAAAATCTTGTATTTGCTGGATACAGTGGTTGGGAAAAGCTCTTCTTGAGGTAAATGAACTTATATGAATTGTGATGATTAATTTCGTTATGCTTGCTCCTTGTGGTGTGAAATCTAAAATGAAATAGACTAAGTGGCCTTTTCTTAACAATCAGGTTTTTCATTTATTTGTTATCAATCTAATGAGACCCCTAACATGCTGGTATATGGTAGGAAACATAAGGGCATGAAGTACAGGATTGTGGGTAGCTTGGTAGGAAAGTCCTTTGTGCGTGTGGTGTTAAGGTTTGTTTTAGAAGGGACAGATGGCATTAGGAGAATGGGTAAATGATGGATTATGTTATGGAGAGACATATCAGTAGAATAAAAGAGAGTGACAGGGAGTATTGAGGGGATATCCAGAAAAGTAGAAAGGGGGAATTAGGGGAGGTCCTGGCCCTCGAAGTCCAGCGGGCTTTTGTTATTTCTTTTGTTCTAATATCCTTCTTTTCATTTGGCTGTGTTGATTAGCTTCGGCTGTTCATACTTGGTGTAGTGTTTGATCCACGTTAATATATAGATATTTTCTGTTTTCCTGAGTTACTGCTGTGTTCTTGCTGTTTTTCTGGGTTATTGCTTATTTTGATTGTTGTTGGCTTGTTGTTTGAAAGGTTGGAGTGCGTTCCTATCACACTCTTAATTACCCAAAGTGCTGGCCTTTGGTTGAACATTAAGGCTAACACATTAAACTCTTTTGTAAATGATACAGGGGACTTTCAGATCAAGGCAAACCGGCCGATCTTTACAAATCTGAGAAGAGATCAGAGTTGGTGAAGGAAGGTTATAAAATTCATGGGAGCTCTGGAGATCAGTGGAGTGACTTAGTGGGTTTTGCTGTGGCTGAAAGGTCCTTCAAACTCCCAAATCCAATGTATTACATTCCTTAAACAAAATATAAAAGGAATTTGTTCGTATGATCCTGTTGTACTGTTATTTTGCTTCATGTAATTGGATGAACATACTTGTTTGCTTCATTTTAATAAGATACCACTGCGAATTCATGGTTGTTACCTTAGAAAAGCGTCTGCACGTGAATGGGTTTTAGATGGCCTTTCTACGTGCTTGTGTTTATAACTATTTATCCACATTGTTGATGATTAGGTAGTAAGGTATGTTTATAAACTCACTAATTTGGTAAAAAGGAGATGCTTTGGTTGTGAACTTGTCTGAATAGCCCTATGTAGATTATGACCTGTTTAATATTTTGAATTATAGAAGACAATTTCCTTTTCTCGTAGAGGACGCATAAAGCAATTTCAATTGGATATAAACTAGATCTATCTGATTGTGGAGTCATCCCAAGTAGTAGTTGAAACACTAACTCCCCTACTGACAAGTGACAAAAGCCATCGCCTATTTACCCAATAATTTTAAATGAATCCTACCCACATTTATGTCATCTCCGTTTGGTTCAAAATTTGGGGGTTTTGGGAAAAGTTTTTTAAAAAAAGTTGAATTGGGTGGGTATTACGATGTAGAATTTATAAATCAATAAAATACTCTTTATGTTTATTTTTTTACAAAATACCCCCTATAATAAAACATTAAAAGTTAACAAAAATACCCCTAATCCACCCTCAAACACCCCCAACCGGTGACCACCATCGGAGGTGGCCGGAGTCGCCGTATGGGCGCATGACCGGTTGGATCTTGCCGGTCATGCGTCGCTATAGCCTTTTCCGGCCAGATCCACGGTGGATCTGGCCGGAAAAGGCCAGATCTACGGTCAGATCTGGCCGTCAACGGTCAGATCTGGCTGTATTTGCTCTCAATGACGGCCAACAAACGGTCGTCGTTGATGGTCAACGACGACCGTTTGTTGGCTGTCGTGACCGAGTGTTACGGCCAAAGATCTGATCAAAAAAGGCTAGATCGACGCATTACCGGCCAGATTCAGCTGGTAGTGCGCCATCCTACCAGATTCCGGCCATTTTCCAGTGGTGGTGGCCAGAATCTGGCAAATGTGGATTATTAGGGTGTTTTTGTAATTTTAAAAAAAATATTTAGGGGTATTTAATTAAATTATTAAATTTAAGGGATTTAAAAAAAGTTGAATAATATTGGGAGTAGTATTCCCAAAAATCTGAGTTTTTGGGTATTTTACTGTTTAACTTTTTTGGGAATACTAAAAATAGTATTCCCAAAACTGAAACAAACTACAGCCATTGAGTTTTGACTTTTGAGAAGCAAGGAGCAGCGGTAGGCATGGAATTTTACTACGGTAATTCTAAGAGAGACCAAGTACAAGTAGTCAACCTGTGGCTTTGAGTTACCACTTACCATCACACAAAATGAAAAACACGCCTGTCTTCTGATGGGCAACGATAAAATTAACTCAAGTATTCATTATTCAACAAAAAATTATAAATCAAATAGTGGGTAAATGAGCACCTATGTTGACATAATCGAATGCCTAAACAAATATTACCATTTACAGGGTTCTGGGTTGAGACTCGGGAGTGTAGTTAGACAACCGTAACACAGTAGCACAGAATGACAACCAAAAGATCAGAGTCAGAGGTCATGTCATGTCACACAGCTAGCAAAAACTGTTTTAGATTAGTTTAAATGTTTAATTAATGATAATAACATGAAGATCGTTGCTAGTCAACATCTGATAAAGATATTTGGACCTGTGATACATTTTAATTACTTTGGAGAAACTCTCATGAATAGCACCTCGTCTATGATTTCTGGGCATGTCTTCACTACTAATTACTAAAGACGTTTATAATGATGACTTACAGATGTAAAGAGTCCATAAAGAAGTTAAATTAAGAAGCTATAAATCATAATTTCTATAGAAATTAAAACAGCCATAACCATCCTGTTATACAATACTGGTATAAGTAAGTAACTCTCTCTCTCTCTCTCTCTCATGGGCTTTCAAGGAGATTGATGAGCTGAGTTACCGATTAATGACCCACAAACAAGAGGCTGTACAGAAGGAACTCTCAGACAACTCAATCCTCCTCCAGGAATCGTGGAGCAGTCTGGTTGAGGTCTCTGCATGCCTCTTCCAGGAATGCAATTTGATGCGAAATCAAATCCCACATTCCTGAAAAACAACTTGGCACATTGCTGGCTAAACCCAGAAAAGAAATTGTAAGCAACCGTCAGATTCATTAGGCTTTTAAGAGAACAAACCAGGTCCGGCAGTTCTCCAGAAAGCTCATTGTGAGCCAAATTCAGAACCTCAACCGCATTTAGACAAGAAATAGTATCTGGCAAACGACCCATCAATGAGTTGTAACTTACATCAAAAACTTGCAAATCAGAAAATAGCCCAACTCCCTGCGGAATGCAACCTGTTAACTGGTTATTGAGTAACAAAATCTCCTTCAATTTAGAATTGCTGAAGGCAAAACGAACTGGGATACTTCCGGTGAACTTGTTGTTGGCTAAATTGATGACAGAAGCAGGGGAATTGGGCAAATTTTGTGGAAGTTCACCAGTAAATTGGTTGTTATTGACAAAGATTGCATCAAGTCCCTTGGTAAAGAGATCTTCAGGGAGGGTTCCAGAAAAGCTGTTGAATCTAAGGTCTAAATAAACGAGGTTTGGAATGTATAGAGTAACAGTAGGAAAAGAACCAGAGAAATTGTTATTACTGATGTCTAACTCTTGGAGAGAAGTGAGGTCTTTGAGAGTATCAGGAATTGTGCCTGAAAATCTATTGCTATTGAGGTGAAGCAAAGTCATGTCTGTGAGTACAGAGAGTTCATTAACAAGAGTACCTTGAAGATTTGCATGGTTGAGATCTATTCCTGAGACAACCCGGACAGGTGTTTCTGAACAAAACACTCCCTTGTAAGAACAAACATCTGAGCCAACCCATGTCCGCAAAATTCCCAATGGGTCATCAGTAACTGCGGATTTCCACGCCTGGAGTGCAGTGTAAGCAGCGTTGAGATCACTTGAACCTGAAGACCCACTTGGGGTTGTACCACCAATCCAAACACCAGTTCCTCCGCCACCGGCACCTGCATTGCCGATACCGATGCCAACACCACCGCCAACACCGAAGCCAGCTTCTGTAAAAATCAGGTGGAGCAGGAGAAAAGCTAGCACGCAGCTCTTCTCCATTGTTCTCTAAGCTTAACTATGAATGTGGTTATTTGATAGGGTTGTTTGTAAAGTTGTCCAAAACAGGGCTTCTACCACATTCAATGACGAAAATGGTGGGGTTTATTGGTCATCTGGGTGCCCCTTGGGGCTCTATTATTACTACACTTTACTTTTTAGTTTTTACTGCACATGTTGACTTGTATGGCCAAAATGCTCACGGTGCAGAACTGCAGACGGGTTGGTGAGTTGGGAATTAATTATTCACCAAAACTACAGCTAGCTTTGGATGAGTTAAAGTTCTTCAACTTCAATGCAGTTCTCAATGGCCTTTTCTATTCATCTATCTACTAAAACACAACTTATTTAATTGAACTGAGTTTATATATCCAGTGAAGCCACACCAAAACATAACAAATGGAACTGAATTATTCATTCAGTTATTGAAACTAATGTAAGATTTGTCTAGGTGAAGGTATTTCACCTTTTGATCAAAAAGAAAAATGAAATTTGAATCTTTCAAAAGGGAGTATATAATTAACATAGGTCGAAATTGGAATTTCATTATCACGAACACAAAAACAACTTGTTGCATGACAGATAATAGCTAACTAACCCCAAGGGCTTAGCATGACAGTCAAAGAGGTTTGCTCTATTTTTTGAATTCTTAGGTTTAAACTTTGGGGTCACGACCACAATAACATTGTGGTTTTGCTAGTCCTTTAGGTTTGTAGAGTATTTAATAGACCTTGAGGATAGCTAACAAATATAAAGGTTTGGATTTGAGTTGATTTAAAGCAACAGTGGTTCGACTAAAAATTTGGAAGTGTGGTTGCAGAGAGGCGGATGCTACCCACTCTCAAATTTTTTTCAAAAAATATTAATATGTACAATTTTTGGATTTTGGCCCACCTTAACAGAAACATTAATGAACAAAAATATTAATGTGGAATTAGTTTATATTTTGGCCTACCCTAATAGAAATTTCTGAATCCACCCCTGGTTGCAGAAGATACAACCCCGACTGGAATTATAGAATTACACCAAATTGATATTATTGACATATATTTATGTTAGATAATAATAATGTGAAGTTTTACAGATTTTGATTTTGGAAGTAAGATTTTATATATGTTAACGTGGGGGTGAGTGGTGGAGTGGGGAAGGCCTGCAATGGAATGTTTTGAAGTGAATGCTGAAGAATCATGTGAGTAACATGCAATGTTCCCAAATTTCAATGATGGTAAACACTCCATTTTAGCCAAAAAGGGTAAAGCTTCATGTGAACATGAAACGAATAAAGGTTTATACCTTATGCGCATGCAATGCTACTTTGATTTATCAATTGGATGGCAGCTACACCAACACCATTGCTCTTGCCTTTACTGTTTTAAGGGTCAAAACAGAATCTATTCCTCCTATATTCAATTTCCCACCAGTCCTAGTAATTTGCTCAATTATCAAAAGCTTGTCCATAATTTCATTCCCCCATCTATACATGTTTAATTTGCTACCCACCCACTTAAATTTCTTTTGAAATTAAAATAAAATTCAGGATTTTAAAAAGAAAATTTAATAAGATATCAATTATCATAATGAAATTACTACTTCAAGTGATTCCAACAGCAAAATTCTCTTCTACTGCAAGATATACAGCATTAGCATGTAAAGGCTAAAGTGTCACCTTTTTTTATTTTGTTGATGCGTGATTTTGACATCAACGAAACGAACATGTGAAACGCTGAATTGGCCCAGATGACACACGTGAATGCAAGAAAAATGAGAATAAATGCAATGGGAACAATTTTTAAAGTGGTTCGGATGCTAAGGAAGCAAGTCCTACGCCCACTGATGTTTGTATTAATGATAGGGGTCAAGTCGCTTTAGCGGACTGACTTACAAGTGACAGTACAAGAGAGAGAATGTTATATATTCTTGAGGGAGAGTAGCCAATCCCTTAAATGAAAGAGGAGCTCCCAATTTATAGTGGGATGGATTAAGGTTATCATTACTGAATCTGTGAGTTGGTGGGACTATCCGTGCAAATCCTTCTTTATGTCACATTGCCCACCTTCTGGAGTGATTTACGCGATTTGGAGCAGGGATTGGACACGTGGGATCACCACAACTTCTGGCTGGCCTAGCACGCACCCACTGTTCTGACAGTAGCATGCTGCTTCTTTCCTCATGTGACTCGGCTGCGAGTGTACCCATGTTCTGACTTTTGCACGCTGACTGGACCTTACGTCAGCCCTGCAGTCTTTAGGCATAACATATTTATTATTATTTTTTGAAGGTCGGCTCTCTAAATGAATTTCTATTTTGGAGTTAAAATAGAGTGTCCTAATATCATATAACACCAACATTTATAATGTTAACATTAATTAGAGTTTTTTTTTTTTTTTTTTTTTTTATCCGGAGGTGTCCTGACCAGCTTGCGTGCATTTTGACTAGTCTCCCAAGGCCCGGAAGTTAGTAACCAGGTGAGCCTCCAGTGACTATTAATAAGTTTGCGCATACCTCAACTAGTCCTTCGAGGCCCTGAAGTTAATGGTTAGGTAAACCTCCATTGGCTACCCTTTATTAGTAAGATGGGGATTCGAACTCAGAGGGTCAGCTTGCGCGTACCTTAACTAGTCCCTCGAGGCCCTGAAGTTAAAAGCTAGATAAGCCTCTAATGACTATCCCTTATTAGTAGTTGTGAGGAATTAAACTTAAGACTTCTTGAGTAATACACTCAAGAGTCTCAAGCGAACCGTCAAGCTACCTAGGGGTAGTTAACATTAATTAGAGTTGGTTTGTAATAAACTAACCTTTTTTTTTATTTGGGGTATTTATACCAGTTTGCGCGTACCTCAACTAATCCTTCGATGCCCTGTAATTAACAACCAGGTAAACCTCCATTAGCTACTCTTATTAGCAACTGAGGTGAATCTAACTCAAGACCTCTTGAGTAATACACCCAAAAGTTTTAACTGATTACTCGACCACCTAGTGGTGATTAGAACCAGCATTACACCCTCTTGATATTCCTAAGAGATGTGGGCTTAACTGGAAGACAATAGCTAGGTAGAACCAGCATTATGATTAGTAGTAATCATATTAATTTAAAACATGCAATTAATAAGCATTCAACTAAAGTTTGGTAATTGTTGGATTCCAAGATTTTGAATAGCAATTTAGTGCAAAACACATAATTCTCTTAAGATATGACAATTATTTCACTATCGCATATTCATCTTTTTCAATTCTCCATTATATATTTATACCCACCATTTGTATTGTCAACAAAGAATCAATTTCCTAGTAGTTTTTATTTGTCATTTTACTCCAAAGGGGACCATTTCAGAACCCATAAGCAACATTTCCCTTTTGGAGAAATGAATTGGGCTGCAACGATTGTAGCTCACACGTATACACGACTATACAAACGAAAAGCCAGAAAACCTTCCTTATTCGTTAATATTGGTTATGAAAATCTTTGTTTGTCTTTACGTTTACGGGCATGGGCATTGGATAGGGTCATTATGTAAAGCATTACCCACATAACCAACTATGGGTTTGGCGAGCGATAAAGGCTTGGGGTCAAAGAGTTTGCTTTCCCTATGGTTTAAGATTCGAATTACAAGAACGATTGTTAATATTATTGGTCATGGACTGCAGAGTTTGCCTTGTTTTAGAAGCTTTGTTCGGGGTTAGAGGACTAGTCGAGGCGTAAACTGACCGTGATACCTCCTAATAACAAAAAAAATAAATAAAAATAAACTTTACCCACAAATTGCCCAATAAGAAGAAAATGAGTTACAATCATTACCCCATCTATTGTGAACCACTTTACTTTTCAATTTATGTGTTTGATCTTATCTTATGGACTTAACTTGGAATTTTTCAATTAGTTAAACCTACAAGTCAAGCTAACTGTGAGCAACAGATAACGACCTCTTCTCTCAAATCTCCACCACTAAGTGCCTAAATTCTTACCTTCCCTTGTCAATTTTATACCAAATCTAGTTTCACATATTAATTATACCTATACCATATCAAATCTAATTTCACATATTAATTCTACCTACTACATTTAGATTGCTCAATTTTAATTTTATTTTATTATTATTTATTTTTAATAATCGGTGTATCTAAACCAACTTGTGTGCACCTTAATTAATCTTTAGGGTCTATTAAACACCTTACAAACTCAATGTTTCAAGTAAGCTACAAATATGATAGGTGCCCCAACGTGGTTTGAACCCAAGAAATTAATGAAAGGGACAAACCTTATTGACCACTGGGCTAACTTCTTGGGGCTGCTCAAATATTCTTAGTTTCTTATCCCAAAGAAGAAAAGAATAAATTGTACTTGTAGGGATGTCTATCCCAAGTATTTCTCTTCCACAATCTTAGATTCCTAATAGATAAACATTATACTCCCTATTAATTGGGTCTTCCTACGATAAATTCATTTAGTTTGTCGAAAACTCATCTAGTTGTTGAGTCATGGATTTGGATATTAATAATGTAGGTACGAAGTTGGTGTATAATTCTTTAGCGAAGTAGTTGAATAAATCAAAATCAAATGAATAAATTCTCTGTAAAACTTTAAAGAAACTCCCACGTTTGTTTTATCTATGTATTGATATATATCCATTAAGATAAATACTGTTGACAATTTTTTTTTTTTTTCAAAATAAAGTTTCTCAAAGATTCTAGTTTTATTTTATTAAAAATGGACATGATAGTTTAATGATTCGCTTAAGACTGTTAGATGTATTATTCAAAAGGTCTTGAGTTCGAATCCACACGACTACTAATAAAGGATAGCCCTTGGAGGCTTACTGACTTTTAATTTCAAGGTCATAGAAAATTAGTTGAAATACGCACAAACTGATCTAGACACTCTTGGATACCAAAAAAATAATAAAAAAAGGAAATTATATATATTGTATATTGTAATATTAGTTTTATAGATAACTCAAAGTCGTTGGATTTTAATTTCTTAGTCTAATGAATACAGAGAGTTTTAACGATGAGGATTCACAGATAACGGTGGACCTATCTAATGTACCAGATCTTCCCTTGAGAAGAGTTTTGATTGACTGTTCGGTTTCACAAAATTCTTCACAATCTATATCGCTTATGCCTTAATTAACCCATCAACTTGACTCTCCAGACCCCAAAAAACCAACCCCTACTATCACTCCCACTTTTATTACTGGTCCCTCAATTTTTTCAAATCTTATGTTCCATCCCCTTCCTTCCGATACCCATACCCCTAATTTTGGGAATTTACACAGATTTGAGATGAAGATCGAGGAATTGGACGACGTGGGTTGTGATCCAAACGACGATCCTTGTTACAGAAAGCAGATTGTGAAGGTTGACGCCAAGAGAGCGTTGGTGGGAGCGGGTGCTCGGATCCTCTTTTATCCGACCCTTTTGTATAATGTGTTTCGTAACAAAATCCAGGCCGAGTTCAGATGGTGGGACGAAGTTGATCAGGTCATTTTTCCATTTCTTTTTCAAATTTTATTGATTTTAGGTTTAATTAATTATTGAAATCGTGGGTTTTACTTGTTTCTTGAATACGATTATGATTTTTCTTGGTTTCTTATTTCAGTTTGTTTTATTGGGCGCGGTTCCGTTCCCTAAGGATGTTCCCCGGTTGAAGCAACTGGGTGTCGGTGGAGTCATCACTCTCAATGAATCTTATGAAACTCTCGTTCCCTCGTCCTTGTATCATGTTAGTGATTTTATTTTGTTTTAATTTTATATGCTTATGTTGTTTCTCTTTGATGCTTTCTTAATTGCAAAGCTGAAATTTATTAAATAAGTAATGTCTTATAAGTGCAATTGTTGATGATTAGATTGTTTGATTTGGGACATTGAAATGAGTACTTGGAAGTTGTTATTTTGCTGGTTGTTTGTATGGAATTTGAAGGGCTTGAGTTTTTCCTTTCTATGATGGATTAAAAGTGAAGCAGTTTTTTTAACAGTTTGAAGATTTTTTTATTGTTTACAGGCCCATGGGATTGACCACCTAGTAATTCCCACAAGAGATTATCTCTTTGCTCCTTCGTTTGATGATATTAGGAGAGCTGTTGATTTTATTCACAGTAAGTATATAAACTTTGTTGGTCTCCAATACTTTGGTTCTTTTGTATTTAGGTTGAGTTGTAATTCCCAATTGTTGTTGTTCTCTTTTTTCTTTTGGCTTCAGGGAATTCATCTTCTGGTAGAACTACTTATGTTCACTGTAAAGCTGGGCGTGGAAGAAGCACAACCATTGTGCTTTGCTATTTGGTAAGAATTTTTTTTTTTTTTTTGGTTACTACGAGGTTATTCATCAATTTGAAATATCAGGCTTACGAATTATAGCTAAAGATTCTTCATTTTCATTTAAATTCTACTTGGCCCCTTTTAGTACTCAAGAATTGGGTTAATTATATGTCTGCAGGTAGAGTATAAGCACATGACACCAGCTTCTGCCTTGGAATACGTGCGATCTAGAAGACCTAGAGTGTTGCTGGCCCCCTCACAGTGGAAGGTAAGAAATCATTTGTCTAAATTATTTAATTGGGAAGAAAAGAACCTTTCGAAATTTTTTAATGCACTATGTTTCTTTAACCTACTATATGAAAGGTATACATGAGGTTAGACAGTTTGGGTGTATTTACTTTTTCCATGATAGCATTCTATGTAGGTTTTTGAATGCCTTCATCTCTCCTGGATTCCACACTTGTATTGTGGGGCTAAGAACTGAGAATAATTTATCTTCCTTGGTGTTAAATAACACACAATTCTTTTTGCAAATTGTAAATTGGTCTCTTCATGGTAATGCTTCTTTTGTCCTATGGAACAAGACAGTATGTTTTTCTCTGACTCGTAACTTAAGTTGGCTTACTGATTACATGATTATACCTACGGTCTCTGGCTAGAAATGCATTACTGTGTTAAAAATACATAACTGTGTTCGTTTGAACATTGATTCTAGTATTTCTTCCTGTGACAATACTTGCTATCATGTAACAACCGTAGCTTGTTGCTTGTGGATAATTATAATAAGCAGGCAGTTCAGGAATTCAGCGGGCAAAGACCCACTACTGCTACATATTCTCCCTCAGGTGATGCAGTTCTAATAACAAAAGAAGATCTTGAAGGGTATCATGGCACTTCTGATGATAATGCTGGAAAGGAGCTGGCCGTTGTATCCAGAACAATGAGGACTGGGCCCATGATGGCTAGATTGTCATGCCTCTTCGCATCCTTAAAAGTTTCTGGTGTTAGTGGACCTGTCACCAGGAGGCTACCTGAGGCACGTGCTTGCTAAATGCCCAATGCTCCACCAGATCCTATGAAGTTGTTGTTTGTACAGGAGCATTATGAAATAAAGTTCAGAGCTCTGACCATTACCCTGTATTCAGGTAATGTTGTGTTCATGAGAGAGGGAAGGAAAATGAAAAGTAAGAGAGATGGAAGAGTTTTTTTAATTGAGTGTATAATCTATTTTTGTATCCACACGTCATTCTATGGTATATATATTTATGCCGATAAAGATTTTTTACTCTCTAATTGCATCTCCTGGTCGAGTCCTCATATTTCAGTCACTGAATGTGGCATTTGTCCAGGCTAAGGCTAATACTCATTTGGGGTGGTGGGTTTTCGCAACTGTTCCTGCAATTCATGTGAATACCCTTTTCTGTCGATTGATCACTGGGTAGCATAGTTGGCAGATGCAGACGTACATCTTGGAACATTTGCCGATAAACGTATGGTAAGTATGAATTGCATGATGCTGTACTTTATCGACTGGTGGTTGGATCTGTAGTTAATACTTTACTTGACAGATTGTGTATCCCAAACAGGTCTTACTGTCGCTTCATGCAATAACCCATTAACAGATAAAAAGCTTCTTGAATGTATGTTTGTTTTCATTCTTTAGCAATCATAGTTTTTGTTGACTGGTAGTCACGGAAGGAATATATATTGATAAAAATAATTAGTAAAAATGTATGTGTCACAAAATGTTGGATGTAAGTTGAAATCAGAAAAAGAATCTAAATCTATGTTGTCTCTATAGATGATGGACCTCTGAAAAGAAAGGTGATAAGATGATAATTGAGAAAATTCAATAAAGTGGTGCCTCCACTTATGCATTAAACAGATTTCCTTTGTTCATGAGATTAAGATATTTTAACTTAATAATTCATTTTAGCACTATTTATAATTAGCTGGGTTTAATGGACTGTGGAGAGCGGTTAGTGAACAGAATGGATTGGATGGATGCATTTAACCCCTTCATTATCAGACGATAGTAGTAATAGAAAAAGGCTCAGGAGCCCAGATATATAAAATAAAAAGAAGCCCAGATTTAGAGAAAATGATTGGACTATTACTTGATATGGCTGAATTTGAAATTAATAATCCACCCAACAGTCGCCTTAATTCTAAAACTCTCAACCTTTTAATTTAATTAAACTTAATTTTCATTTTTAATAACGCAAAGGGATGGGTGAATTAGTTGCAGCTTAATGTCTACTTCTTTACTTATTGATTGGAATTTAATCAAATGCTGAATTTCTTTATTCTAATTGTATATAATACTACATTGTAATTTGTACACCTAATACAAACATCTTAAAATCAGCATTTGACCCATTTTCTCTCTAGAGCATGGAGATATTCTTATCAATGTCTCTAAATCACAAAATCTATGATGACATGTTTTATAATATTGAAACTACCACATTCTTGTCTAACCTTAAATTTAATAGCAAGATCTGTGTATTGTGAAAATTCAGTTGTCCCAATTCGCATCCCAGTAGATGAAGGACTAATCAGTGTTTGTTCTATAATAGTTGAATATGAATAAGAAAGTGGTTGGTGAAATCTATACTCAATGAGCAGGGAATGTTCACCAACTCTCCTAACTACAACAAACTTCAAAGAACAAAACACCAAGTTTCCGCCATCACCAGTCACCAGGCAATGTTATATATGTATTAAAAAGAAAATCTAATAATTTACTTCTTTCACGTTCTGGGTAGAAAAGAAAAGCAAACAATTAAAAAGTACGAATACTTTAATAATAATTTTTTTTTTTTTTTTTTTTGAATCATATATTTTTCTAAGCAATTTGAATGGTGATTGGACAGCCAATTACAGAGCCTCATCTTGGCTTGAAACTATCCTTGTGGCTTCCTTCCTCCATCTCTTTAGACAGACTCATCACCATAACTATATCTGAATTAATATTTCTGAATGAAATACTGAAGATACATTTTTGTAAGAGTACTGTATAGAGATGGAAAAGAAGAGGTGGGCTAATATGTTTGTGAAAAGGAGATGGAAAGACGTTGAAAGAATCTAAAAAAGATGGGTATGGCCATGTTGTGATATTCCCCCTTGCATTACACAATTCTTCTTGCAACTTCTTTAATGGACCAAATCTCTGCACAATAAGAGAAACCCTAAAATTGCTAATTAAAACCCCCTTTAAAGCAAAGCATCCAAAATCTTCCATAAAGTGAAAGAACTTGAATATCACCTTTTTATCTAGGTTGAGCAAGACATGCCATTCCCTTTTTATTTTATTGCATGTGGAAAGAGACACTGCTTCTTCCCACTCTGTTTATATATCCTCTTACCAATATCTCTCTACAACAGTGTTTAGATTCTCTTGCTAACTTTAAAATTTTAAAATTACCAAAACCCCTTTTACATGTTCTGTGTATTTGCTAATTATACTTGCTGAGTTTTGCTGCTATATACGACACTTAACAAATCACAACTTAATTATGAAGTTTCTTCCAGCATCTAGAAAAAGGGTATTCTCTGAATCTCCTGTTCAGATTATAGGAGCTAGCTTCATTTATAATTTTGTCAGCGTTTCATCGTACACACTAAATTATTGGCAGATCTGATCAGAATTTAGATAATTCCTTTGTGATGCAGATTTTAATTCTCTCTCAGCTATATTCTATTGTATTTTTTAATCTTTCTGATTGATGGTTATCAAGAAAACTGATAAATCTTAGTCATGTATACAGTATTTGATCAGACATCCTTCATAAAACGTGTATGCTTAGTTAAGATTTAGGTGAACTGAAATCAAAAGAAAATCAATATAGTTTATGAGATCTAACAGTAGTACGTATTTGGGAATATATATATATTGAATGGAATTATGGAAAGATAAAAGAAATTGTGACAAGTCATGAGAAGTGTCACATATCCAAACTTAAAGGTTATTCTTGTCTGCTTATTCCTTGTTCCGTCTTTATTCCCTTGAGAAACTACTATGAAGCTGCCTAATTTATCTTTATTTCATGCATGTCCCATGAAACCAAAAGATACCATGCACGTTACTCTCTCTCTCTCTCTCTCTCCCCTCATGGATAAGCTCATATCTCTACTCTCTCTATATACATTAAAAATACTACTGCAGAAAAAGCTCGAATCTGGAATAGAATAAAGCAATAAAGAAGTTTCCTAAACAACTAAAAAACAAAGACCCTAACTTTAATTAGAAAATTAAAATTTATTGCCAGTTACTACTATAAAAAAGATTCCATAATCCCATACCAGAAATAAAATTTTAACGAAGGTATAGCTCAACTTCATTTCCCTCCTCATCCATTTGATAGCTAAACACCAGAAACAGTAAACCTCTTTTATTAAGAAAACGACAACCACTTTTATATATCACCACTGATGATATGTATGAATTGAAGTTTACATAGAAACTAAAGAGATAAATTAAGTTCATTGTGGCTGTGTCTCATTTGTCGTTTATTTGATAGGGCATGCGCTACTTTTAGAGAGTTTTTAACCTCAATATATAAGTGGCCATAAAGAGGCTTCGGGGAAATCACTTCACTTGGTAAGTAGCGAGGACCCATCAAACTATACATTAATTTCTATCCAACCACATGTAAAAGTATATTTCCTTTTCAATTAGACAAACATCAAACTACAAAAATACAACGGACCTCCAAAGACAAAGGTGTTTGAATTATTTCACTCTCTTATTAAAGCTAAGGACTATACATATAAACTCACAAGAATGGATATAGAAAAAGGATAATATACACTCAACTCCACTATTCTATTATATGTCACCGTGAATATATTATGTAATTTTTCAACATAATGTAACAAAAGATAATTAATTGATTTTAAATTTAAAAAACACTTTCACCCAATTATCTATTGTCACATCATGTTGAATGAGAAATGTTATATGTTTAATATTATTCTTTTATATATCTAGATGACTTATATGACTACATAAGATCAATATCTTGTTTTGAATTGCAAAGACAGTACAACGGCACAAACCTACCGGGATAGAATTTTACTGCAAGGAAGAAAAGAAACCTCTATTTTTCAATTATATATAGGTGCTTTATTTCAATACATGTATAAATATTTCAGAAAGATTTAAATAGTTTTTTTTTTTTTTTTTCGGTTTCCCAAAAATACACATACTGAACATATTCACCAAATCACGATTAGAAAATATCAAAATTATACTCTTCTTCAGTTGGATAAAGAATATTTAATTGATATCATATATTTTATAAAGGATCCTAGCCAGTTGATCTGATGATCTTGTGATTAGGACTGTGATAGAATTGTTGATCAAACTGGTTAATGTCATTAACAAATTTTGCACAGATTGTACATCTTGTGGAGTTTATAGTTAATCTAATAAAATGACAAGGAGAGTTCATATGTCTCCTTTAAATTGTTCCAAAGTATGAAAAGAAGTACTGGAAGAAAGTGAGGCACCGATGAAATAAACAATTGGACAATACATAATTTAAAGGGAAATCATCATATAATTTATATATTTTACTTAAAAAAGTGACTACAAACAACACAATTAACAAAGTATTGTTGTTGCAATTTGCACAGACTCTTTGGTATTTTTCTTTAAAAGAACAGAAAAAAAGAAAATATACAAAACATCTTGAAATAATAAAATAATAAGAATAGGCATATATAAAGATGATATTGTAATGATAATGGTGATGATTTTCATGCACGATATCGATGGATTTACTTTGGGTCTTTGGTTCTCCTTCCATTTTGTCAGAAGAGAGCAGCCTTTTTTTGGCTTCTTTTCTTTTCTTTTCTTTCTTCTTTTTCCTTTTGTTCTTTTTCTCTTCTCTTCTCTCTTTCAACATGGACTGTTGTACAGTTAGTTCAGTTGAGAGTGAAAGCCATCAGACCTTAGCCAGGCAGGCCCTCCAGAGAAAAGAAAGAAGGAAAAAAAAAAAAAAAAAACAACAAACAAAGTATAAGATATCCTCCTGGCCTCTTCTTGAAAACAACTTCAGGGAGGGCTTCAAGTACTAATGATGATGATAATGATGTTGCTGTAATAGTGTTTTTTGTTTGTTTATTCTCTATTTATTTTTGCTCCTATCCATGATCTCCTGGTTGTCAGATCAGGCCAGAAGGAAGAGTACTTCAACCATCAGCTTCTTGTGGGTTTGTGATTGACGACTCCTGCAAAAGTACAACCATGTGAACAAAATATTAGGTTAGGGTTTAAACTACATATAGAAGTTGCCTTTTGTCCTTTTATCATCCCCGCAATCAAATTGTCTGACGATGTGTTTTTCCTCACGATGCTACGCATGAAAAAAGATCTAATGTGCTATCATCCGCTTTCTTTTGAAGCCCCAAATATATATATTAAAAGAATCATACATTCATATTCTCTTTATGCAGATTATTGCCATAAACACACTACTATTAGCGTCAGGAAAAAGGGATAGACCTTCTAAATTCTATTGGAGAATAATTTTAAAATAAAGTAGGTCTCAAGAAAGTTTTGGGCCTTGTTTTATATTCCTGTTGTCGTTCAAAAGAGGAGGAAGAAAAAATTAAAAATGGTTTTACTTCTACATATCAGGGCTTCTGGTTTCACATTACGCCATTGAGATTCTCATATTTGCTGATCCAACAAAAAAAAAAAAAAAACTATATCGGCCTTGAAATGGAAAAACCATCTGTCAATTTGTTGAAAGAAAAAGAGAGAGAGAGAGAGAGAGAGAAAGAAAGAAGAAGAAAAATAAAGTATATGCACAAAAGCAAAATATGGTTGTCGATTTATTGGATTTTATTTGTGAGGAAACCAAAAGACAGTATAGTCTAGACATGAAAAATAACTACACTTCTTTACAGGATACTGTGTAGTATAGCAATATCATACTAAATCACCGAAACTTAAAAATGAAAAAGAAGAATAAAAGAGATAAAGAGGAAAAAAAGAAAAGGTTTCTGATTTCTCTCTTTAATTTAAAATAATAATAATAATATATAGTAATAAAGAAGAATTGATATACTAAAATTTTAATCCTTTTCAACGCTAAGCTTTTACTTATATCTCTCGCCTTAGTTGGTATTATGACAAACAAGGGTCACGGATTTCAGGGTCAAAAAGTTCATACTCACTTCTTTGATATCAGTTGAAGTGCAACCCATTATGAGTTCCTCCAAACCAGACGCAGACCTTCCTCCCATTTTATGATGTTGCTGCTGCTGCTGCTGCTGTTGCTGTTACATTATATTGACCAAAAAGATAAAAAAAAAATTACTAATCATCATGTCTTCAACAAGGACTAAAAGCTTAAAAGACCATTTCATTGTTCCCAACTTAGCTGACACTAATTAACATTACTGAAATATGACATGTGTAAACTCATGACTTGTTACCAATTTCCCCCATTTCTTTTTGAGGTTTATATAATTAAAAATAGAGATAACGTTTATTCTGATATCATGTATACTTTATAAACTAAAGAGAAGAAACAGATGTTACTAATCTAGTCTGGTAATGTTTCTTTCTGGTAACAATGAATGAATGGGACTCAGATTTGTGGGTTAGTTAGTAAATTACCTGGAAAGTATCATTTTGAAGCATTATTCTGGAAACATGGTAAGAGTCATCGTCAAGAATGATAGAAGCGTGATGGAGTGGAGGTGGAGAGATGATGGTAGAGATGGGATGTGAAGGCCTGGTGATGTGGAAGGCTGTGGTTGCAATATTCTGAGGATGATGTGTATGGTGTTGGTGTTGGTGGTGGTGTTGCTGTTGGTGGTGGTGGTGTTGCTGTTGTTGACGGTGATGATCATGGGCCATATGATGTGGCCGCTGCTGCTCCCGTATGTCTTCGCACGTGCCTGCTGCTGCTGGGGCTTCACTTGCGGTTGAAGCTTCTCCTATCCCCACCTGCATGCAATAGACATATCCATGAAGCAGTTTGCTAGATAGTCCATTTTCAACAACATCCTTTATTTGTTTAATTAGCTTTAATATCTTTTTCTTTCTCTGTTTAATTTCCTTTGTTTACCTAGCGGTTTGAATATTGGTTTTAATTCATTGTTACCTTTCTGGCGGGTAAACAAAGTTTAGTTAGATGACAAAGATAATCAAGTGAGGTCCATAGCGTTTTGCATGCTGTATGTGCAAGCAACTTGTAGGAGAAAAGCAACCCTAGAACTTTTTTGAGTCCTTCCTTTTACTTTATCTTATGCGAGATGTACGAACAAAACTGATGTAAAAACTTAGCCAGCCTTATTTATTTCAAACAGTTAAGTTTATATACTTTTAGCAGAAAATTAATATGTAATTTAAATACGGGTAGATTTGGTACACAAACATGCCGTGAGAAAAAAAGATGGTAAATATGGGATTGTATAATATTTCAAGCTATCTACAAAACGTCAACATCTCTGTTGACGATGAGATATTGGTTGGTGTAATGAATGAACAAGAGGATATGTGGACTTTGAAAATGTAGAAGGCAATAAATATTTGCATGAATAAATGAAATTAATATATATATACCTCATCGAAGCTTTTCTTAAATGGGACGAAGCTGAAATGGTGATCATGAGGTTTCAACTGTTGCATATCCATAGTACCATAACTTGACATTGCAGCAGCAACCGCAGCTCCAGACATTTCATCCCTATGTGGAATTAATTCTTTTGATGAACAACTTCCACTGCCACTATCTCTTCTACTATTAGGATCACTGCTTCCTTCACCAGTTGTTACAATCCTATCGGACCAATTACATTGCCGTGGCTGTGTCTGATAGAATATCTTTGAAACCACAAGCTCTCCTTCTTTCTCTTCCTCATTCTGACCAAGGTGGTATTGGTGCATTACCCAGTTGGTCTTTTCGGGTTTTCGGTTCTTGCCAAAATTTGTATAGAGAACCAAGATTTTCTTGCACCCTTTTTGTTTACCATTGACCATAACTGGCCTTGTCTTGCCAGTTTTATGCCACCTTGTTTCGCCACCTTGCAAGTCACATTCGGTTTGAATTTTTCTTCGCTTTCTTGTGCCAGTAGTGTAAGCCTTTGAAGGTCTGTGGAAGAAGTGTCTGCTCAAGCCATCTCTTGTAACTCCTGGAAGAAATGTGAAGCCATTATCGCCAAAATCAAAGTTAGGTTGACATAGGTGTAACAAACTGTGAGACAATTAATGAAGAAGTCATAACAAAAAAGAGAAGCACGGCAAGACAAAACAACTAATGAAGTTTACAGCTTTTATCCGATACTTGGAAGATTATATATATAAGACAAAGCAATGACAAAAGCGAGAGAGATGACATATATATATTGTATATCTAACCTGGAAGTTTCTCAGGATGGGTATAACAAATCCCATCTTCCCCTTCAATAGTAGGAATGAACTCATCTATCAAAGGGTGAGATTTCATGTCTTTGGCTTCTACCTTTGCTTCCAGGTGATCTATCAGTTCTTGGTCTGTTGGATCAAATTTCACCCCAGCTGGTAGACCTAACCAGTCCTGCAAAATACAATCAAACTAAAATTAAAGTTCAAAAAAAAAAAATTAAAGTATAAGATAAAATGATTTTGTCGAAATACTATCAGATAATATTAGCCCCCAGAATAAAACAAGAAGAATAATTATATTCTTCTTTTAATTAAGAAAATGATTTTATGATTGAAGAGCTAAGAATATTAGGGTACTATCCGTTTCGTACCGGCTTTGCTTCGAGTTTATGTCCGCAGCCGGGGCACTGTTTGGATCCACACAACTGATGTTCTTCAAGCTTGGCGTCAATGAGATCAGAGTTACTGATATTGGAACTTAAATTACTCTTACTCATGGCTTATTGGATGGCGAAAGCAGATGCTATCTTCTTCCTCTCAAACTGGTTAAATATTCTTTAAAATTATACACTCTATATAATACCCACCTACTCATATCATATCATATCCAGTTACCTATCTGCACAGCACAAATCATCAGTCTTTTTGAGATCCCATCTTCAGTTATAAAAAACATAAATAAAAGGATAATCAATAAATCAGATTACGATTTCCCGTTGTATCATGAAACAATAAAATTAACCAAAATTTTCTCAAGGACCGAATTTTATTTTATTTTCAAAAAAAAAAAAAAAACAATCAATCAGAAAACCAAATCACTACAACCAGAAAAAAAGGGGGTAGAAATACTTAAAAATTGAGCAAGTCTTACACAAGTAAGTGAACCCTTGTGGCGAAATCAAATCTAAAAGAAGAAATGAGGGAAGCCCATGTGAGAAATAAGAAATAGCCGAAGAGAAATATAAAAAAAAAAAAAAAAATTTATTAACAGTTAAGATGATGATAGAAGAGAGAAAGGGGAGGAGACAAAGAGAAACAAGAAGGAGGAAAAGAGGAAACTGTCACAGTAGGATTGAACTATAAACCTGCTTTAACCATAGAAAACACCAGAATTTGCTCCCTTAGCTTACTTTAACCGAAGCCAGTGAAGAAAAAGGAAAAGTTGCCCTCAAGCCTATACACCACTTTTAAGCCTTTGCTAATTTAAGCTGCTTCTACAAGTAGACGGTTTGTATTTGAGAGAGAGAAAGAAAGAAAGAAAACAGGATAGAAAGGAGGAAAAAAACACTCTTAGTTGGGTTTTTCTTTCTTTCTCTTTCTAAAGCGAGCTGAAGCTCTTGACTACAAAAGCAAAAGGCATGAAACGGCCTTCACAGCTGTTACTTAAGACACACATTCAAAAGCATGGCAAGTAAATACAGATACAAAACACCCATCTGGATTTATATTTAATATAAAAATAGATATAGTTATAGAGAACTGCAGCCATATACAAGCGGTGGTTAGGTTAGAAAATTTTGATAGTAAAAAGGTGGTGATATATGAATAAAGTGAGAAATCTTAAAAATCAAAGTACTTGAGGTTGGACGTGGCAGTAAGTAACTTTGAGTAATAAAGACGATAACAAGGGAAATTACAGTTTGATGATTTGCACAAGAAATTGTGGTTAAAAGGCAGAATTTTTCCGAAAGAGAGAGAAACAAAGGAGAGATTGTGGGAAAAAAAAAACAGAGAGTAGTAAAAAAAGGATAATAAGAACTCACATGGGTTTTGAGATGGAGTGGTGATCATGATACTTTTGCCATGAATGAATGTTTCAGAGAGAGAAAGAGAAAGAAATGGAATTAAGGGGTTGCTTGATAAGCAAGGCAAATGAGCAGTGTACTTGATGGACCACCACCATTGTAATATATATATATATTTACAATATACAATTAATACTATATTTCATTAAAAAAAAAAAAAAATCTACACAAAACTTCAAGAACAAGCAGCACTGAGTTACCTGGCATTATTATAATCTCCTGAAATTAAATAATTAAGTAAAGATAAAACAATCGTTTTCTTTGAATTACGAACTTCTCTTTTGCTCTAGTGTGAGTGGGGGAAATCTAAAGTGTATAACACTCATACCCACCAATTATGTTATGTGGGCCTAGACCGAAATTAACCTAAAGCATATCTCTGCATTCACGTTTATAACATTCTTTTGAGCAGTCAAGATAGTCAATTATGAAGGGACCAGAAATATGTTTGCACAACTGATACATGCCTATGATGCTTCCTTTGTCTCCTCCTATTTATTGTTATATAAATATCTATTTATTAAAACTTAAAACTTGGATAAATAAATATTGTACAGTAAGTATCATTTGCTACTACTTAATTACGCTTAAATTTATATGTATGTATATAATGAGATGAGAGCCACAAATATTATTCAACTAGAGCTAGCCTTTGATATGGTGGACAAGTAATTCGAAGGGATTGGTATGATGATTAAAGAGGTTTGTTTTCTTTCTTGAGTTTCTAAATTCAAACCTTGGGACTATCTACTATAATTACATTGTGACTTACTTGATACTTTAGGCTTGTAGGGTATTAAATAAATCTCGAAGATTAATTGAGCTTGTGCATAAGCTAGTTCGGTCACACCGGTTTAAAAAAAATAAATAATAAAAAAATAGATAAGGTAGACAAGAATTGAAAGAACGAATCAGAAGTTGACTTTTGACTAGTAATAAGGCATGCAATGGAACCAGCATATGCATATCTTAAATAACACTACTCCTTTATGCTCTTGTCGATTCTGGTTCTGGGCATGTGACCTATATAAATTTCTTGGCATTTTGTGTTTGATATTGTTCCCTTTTCCTATATACAAATTACCTAGCTGCAAGGAGTGAAATTCTATAGTACTTGATATGCAATATTCCTATGTTTTCAATTGATTGGTAGGTGCATCTTCCTCTTATCATTCATGCATGTATCATAATACTAGGACAGATAATTAAATTTTATTTCAGATAAACTACTTGGGGCTTCTCCTGGAATCCAAAAATTCTTTGTTGAATTTTGTAATGGGAGAAAGATAGGATCCTAAGTCCTGATGACTTATATATATTTATTAAAGAATATCATAGTGCCAAACTACTTAGAATAGTACTTGTGATCTTTATATTCTTTGATTCACAGAATTTTTAATCTCAGATTATGAATTCAGACAAATTAGAGAAAGACCTCCATGAATAAGCTAAGGTGGTTGTGTTTGTGGGGGTTCCAGTCCAAATCCAAGAAGCAAAAAAAAAAATATATATATATATATATATATTTATATATATATATTACATTGCATCTTCAATCCTTTCTTTCTTCAAAATTGCCGACCATATTGACATTTTTGCATCTTAAGGCTTCATATTTACTCCAAGATCTGTCAATATTTTCTTTTTTTTCAGTATTTACTCATTGATATCATGATTATGTATGTTCTTACTCTTCATTAAATCACCTTCCAATGGATTTTTGCACAAGAATAAAGATCCTCTTTGATTGAAGAGCATCTAATAACAGTAGGATTTGCAACTTTAAAGATCTCATTAGAAAAAGCAAAATCCCGCAAATAGATCATTGTATTCAGCAGACGAATCATGTGCCCACAGACCTCGATCACTTGGCTTGGCGGCTTTTCATCTATGGAACTTATACTGTTGATGCGTGATTTTGACACTAACCAAGCACACGTGTGAAATGCTTAGCTGACCCAGAAGACACACGCGGGTGAAAGGAATGAGTAAAAACAATAGGGAACAACGTTTAAAGTGGTTCGGATGCTAAGGAAGCAAATCCTACGTCCATTGATTTTTGTATTAATGATAGTGGTCAGGTCGCGTTCAGCGGACTGACTTACAAATGACTATACAAGAGAGAAAATGCTATATAGTCTTGAAAGAGAGTAGCTAATAAAGAGTAGAATGAGCGAATCTCACAAATGAGAGAAGAGCCCTCAATTTATAGTGGGATGGATTAAGGTTATCATTACTAAATCTTTGAGTTGGTGGGATTATCCGTGTAAATCTTTTTTTATGTCCCATTGCTCACATTTCGGAGTGATTTATGCGATTTGGTGCAGGGATTGGATACGTGGAATCACTATAACTCCTGGCTGGTCTGACACGCACCCACTGCCCTGACGCGAGCATGCCGCCCCTATTATCGCATGATATGGCTGCTTCTGACTGGCTGCGGGTCTACCTAAGCTCTGACTTTTTATGTTAACTGAGTCTTGCGTCAGCCCTATATTTTCAGGCATAACATATACTTACATAGACAGTCATGTTGAAGCAATCCAATTCCATCACACCATATTTAATTTAAACTTATTAATTAGACTGTGAATGATTTTAAATTATCACGTCGCTTATCATATTGTTATCTGTAATTTACCAAAGTAGAAAAATTGTTTTTAATATAATTTTTTTTTTTTTTTCCAGTAGGACCAAATCATTAGTCTTCCATCCTTTGCTAAATTCCCAGGTGTGATTCTCCACGTCAAGTCAAAAAGTTACAGTGTGTTACTCATGACAAGTAATTGTAATTTGGTTTTTATAGTTTTGACAAACCTCATTATTTACAACATCACGCTTTTCTTCAATCCAAGTTAACTATGATTTCTTTATATTATCATCTCATAATTCAATTACACAATACCCTTTTTCGATTATTTTCATAACAATAAATTGATTTTCTGAAATTATTTTTAAATTTTGGGGAACATAATCAGTGTCACAATCAATCACCTAATATATAAATAGTGCAGATTAAATTGAAAAGAAAAAAAGGTTTGGATGATTTGTTGCCATAAATGTATAAGATTTCAATTAAAAATCCAATGTTTAATATTGGACCCATCACTTAATGATTGTGAATCTACAACCATCTTGACTTTGTGTGTGCATGTACCCAACAAATATTATGCTCAAATGCTAACAAGACTATACATATTATCAATGCATGTTGGAATAAGGGTGATTTATGAAAATAGAAAGTGATAAAAGAAAAGATGGATAAGGAGAAGAAAACTAGTTGTGGAAGTGGAAGAAGCCATTAAAGGAAAGCCGAAGAGACAAGGAAAGTTTAGTCGCCGCCAATAAAGGAAAGCCGAAGAGATAAGGAAAGTTTAGTCGCTAACCAACTTAAGAGAAATGGGCCTGAGAGGAAGAGAGTTGGCATATCCATGATGTTAGGTTTATCTAATGCTTAAACAATGCCCACACACTTTAATTACCAATCATCATTTCATTTCACTTGACTTCCATCGTCCTAGGCTAGGAACCATTCTATAAACTGTTAATAAAATCTTATATTCAGATAAAAACGAGTTTTCCAAGCATTGGAATATATCTTCGTTGTAAAAAGAGAAAAGAAGCATAATAATAAAAAGTAATCCCCAAAGGTTTACGCTGCAATAAGAGTTGAAATTTGCTTATTAGCATATAGATAATCAAACCACACATTAATCCACAACTTTAACATCAAAATAAGTCATAAGAAACCCATCTTTACTCTCAACAAGTCTTCAGTAGTTCATCCAGAATACAAGGGCCAAGAGAAAGTCAAAACTTGACATGACCAAGAACAGAATTACCGAAATAAATTATGGATCAGGAACACTAACAGCAATTCCATCAACTTCGGTCGCCATTGAAAATTGTATTATCAACCAGCTATTTCGGTAAATGGTAGACCAAACTACAAAAGAATATGACCTTGGACGCCAGTAAATACATCAAAATGCTGGCTTGTTATGCTTAGCGCACCAAATTATTCATAAAAATGGGAATGTCTAAAATTTATCTTATTGTCAACTGCATTGGCCGTAAAAAAGCTTGAAGGTATGCAGATGCAAAGTAATATAGACAACAGGTCTGGTGCCTGCCCGGTTCAACACAGGAAAGCAATTTAATTATGACTTGAACTTGTTGCTGACAGAATCATAGCTTGGGACATTAATGACTGCAAAACAAGAGGAAGAAATATATAGATAAAACACTCAAGAAAACCAATGAACCAGAATAGAATACTTTGAATAAACCCATAAAATACCATCTCCATATGATGCCATTGTCAGTGGGGATGAAAGAAGCTTCTGGGCTATTGAAGTAATATCCTTCACTGTAACATCATCCACGGCCTTCAAGAAGTGATCCACAGGTTTCCTAAGAAACAACAAATAATTTAAGAGGAAAACATCATATTACAGTCTCATGTGATAAAACTGCAAATGTGCATTAAAGAACAGGTATTGGGATCGAAGTGAGTCATTATTTTACCAAAGGCCACAGTGAAAATCAGTCTGCTCCTTTTGTCATCAACAGAGATCAAATATCTTTCCAATCAAATGTTTTTCATATATACTAGGTACTGCTTAAAGATCAAATGGGCATAGATTACAAAATTTCACCAG